TGCTATGAACATAGCTGAGCATGTATCTTTATGGTATAAATCAGCATTCCTTGGGTAGATGCCCACCTACATATATTTTATACACATTGTAAACTATTCCATCTGAATCCATTTTATTGTGAAACTATTGCTTGAAACTGCAGCATTCTAAGACTGAAACTGTGCTGTGGCTGCTGGCTCCACCCACCTCAGCTTCCCAACATGGTGGTGGTACATTTACCACTGGCTCTGGGAGCCATCAACTCTTAGAAACAGTGGGTCTATGCTTTTATCAAATCATGTAGCACAGAAACCTTTTTTTTTTTTTTTTTTTTTAACTAGCAAAAACTATATCCAACACACAGCATAGTGTGCAGCTTGGAGACACCTCTGTGTGTAACATAGCTTAGGTCAAACACACACACACACACACACACACACACACACACACACACACACACGCCATGAACCCGCCATAGAGTAGCTCAAACCCTCAGGCTGCTGCTAACTTGAGAGAGACAACTAGGAAGCTATTTTTAGCTCTGTTTTAGAATCTTTTTTCTCAGGTTTTAGGTGGAAACTCTTGCCAACCTATTGGGTGCCATTTGTAGCTGGTGTTTTCCTGGTCCTGTCTGGCCCATGGTCAGGACAAATCTCTTTCATCCGCCAGTCCCGCAGCCGCTTAGACCCAACCAAGTAAACACACAGAGACTTATATTGCTTATAAACTGCATGGCTGCAGCTTGCTTATAAACTGTATGGCCGCAGCAGGCTTCTTGTTCTTATATCTTAAATTAACCCATATCTATTAGTCTATAAGTTGCCATGTGGCTCATGGCTTACCGGTACCTTACATCTCGCTTTTCATGGTGGCAGCTGGCAGTATCTCTTTGCCTCAGCCTTCTACCTTCCAGCATTCTCTTCTCTGCTTTTTCTGCATATACTTCCTGCCTGGCTACTGGCCAGTCAGTGTTTTATTTATTAACCAATCAGAGCAACACATTTAACATACAGAACATCCTACAGCACTTGATCCTTGCTGCATTAACTAACAATCAGTTTTTATTTTATTATTTTTTAAATTTATTTATTTATTTTATGTGCATTGGTGTTTGCCTTCATGTATGTCTGGGGTCCCCTGGAACTGGAGTTACAGACAGTTGTGAGCTGTCATGTGGGTGCTGGGAATTGAACCTGGGGTCTCTTGAAGAGCAGTCAGTGTTCTTAACTGCTGAACCATCTCTCCAGTCCTAACAATCAGTTTTAAAAAGCATTACAGAACACTATGAATTTTCAAATTTCATTTTCAGATTACTATGGAAGGATAGGAAATCATTTTCCAGCTGGCAAACTATGGGATTTTCTCATACAAACTGAATTTTTGATTACAAAAATGGTCCAATCTTTTCCCATTCCACAGGGAGATATTTATTTTATTGGTAGTCATCTAATGGTATAGAGTGGCTCATGGCCCAGATATTATCAGTCTATTAATGGTTCCTTTCTTTTAGCCAAACAAATGGGACTGGCTGTTTTGATTCATCTATTATGGTTAATTCATAACCCCTAAATATTGTTTCAGATTCTGCTTAGTACTTCTAGCAACTGACTTATACTCCATGTACACTCTAGCGTCCCTGGTTTTATTGTAGAAGGAAATAAGCAAGCTGATGCATTAACCTGCTCTACTTTTACTTCTCCAGAAGAAAATTTGGAAGGGGTATGTGTCTGTCATTGCAGATGGATCCACTGAAACATCATGGATTCCTCTTTGGCTCCTCCAGCCCTGGGCCATCAAGAACACTCTGGAAGTCACCAGAAAGATAGCAAACCGCCCTCCAGCTAAACAGCAAAAGGAGATATCGATCATATCACCAGAAGTGAAGTCTGCCCACCTGGGGCCAAGTTACAGCTCTATGCACCAAGGGAGAAGTTATTTTACTAATGACTCTGTGTTTCTGACTGGACCTTGAGACCATAAAAGACTCATTCATCCATCTGAAGAAGGGACTGCATTTAATTTTTCCTTGGGATTTGAATCACTTCCCATTTGCATAGGCCATCATAGCACTTGTATTCCTACTAAAGGCAAATATGGGCTTATGATCTATAAGATATCAGAACTACTAATCATATGGGTCTCTTTTCAAGCTAGTCTCTAGATTTTTCTGATCAATATAATGTAACTAATAGTACAGGACATAGTTTGTATCTCTATGCTTGGTGCTTCTTGGTGGCAGAGTATTACACACAATGCTTTCACTGTCCTAATATCATTTGCTTGCTTATAGGATACTCATCAAATGACAACTAGATTTATCTATAACATCTCAAATCAAAACCACTTTGCATATCCTGCAATCAAAAACTAAAAAGGGGTGAGATAGAAGTCACAACATGATCCAAGAATGGAGTCATGTGAGGGGAATTCTGGGTGCTTGTGAGAAAACTCCAAGAAAACAAGAGTTTGTGACTCTAGTTTCTTCAAAACACAGAATTGTTCTTGGAATGTATTTTTGTGTTCCTCCCATGTGTAGCAGATAGGAGTGACTTACTTCAGGTGTTGTTATTCATATGCCTCTATGAGAAAATATGTGGGTTTTTTTTGCCATGTGTGGCTTGTCCTTGTGGTTGTATACTTTACTCAGGTGAATCTTCCTAATTCTCAGAGTATAAATTATCTGATGTGCTGAATAAAGCTGACTATTGCATGCGACTTTAGTTTGCCTCATTTTTATGCTCCATTCTCTCAGGTTCATGCCATCAACTAGACAATATATTGAAGAATAATAGAAGGTTAGGATGAAAAAAAACCCTGAAATCTCAATGACATTGCTGCTCAAAGAAATGTAGGATTGGGGCTTGAGAGATGGCTCACTTGGTAAAATGCTTGCTACACAACCATTAGGACTGGACTTTGATTCCCAGGATCTATATAAAAATCAAAGCATGATGGTGTGTGCTTGTAACATCTCTGGAGCTTGCTGACCACCCAGATTAGCCTAGTCAGTGAGCCCCAGTGACAGTGTACAATGTATAAGACAAAGAATGACACCCAAGGTTGATATCTGGTTTCCACATGCATACACATGAACATACACACAGAGGAAGAGAGAAAGAGACATAGAGACAGACAGAGAAGCAGAGAGACATAATCCTAAGATTGAAGCCAGTCATGTTGGCTCATGCCCATGATCCTAGAGTTTAGGAGGGTAAGGAAAGAAAAATTGTAACAAGTATGAGGTCAGCTTTAGTTACAGTACCAGTTCCAGTTGAATAAAGGCTACATAGACAAACACTGAAAACTAATAAAATCCTAGGTCTATTGTAGAATATTATTTTAAGATGTGTTACATTTATTTATGCTGTGGAACATTTGTTTAATGATGCAAAGATGTGTTGCATTCTTTTATGTTGCATTTGTTTAACTCTGTGAAGCTGTGTTGCTGTGCTTGTCTAAAAAACACCTGATGGTCTAATAAAGAGATGAATGACCAAAAGCAAGGCAGGAGAAAGGATAGGCAGGGCTGGCAGGCAGAGAGAATAAATAGAGAAATCTGGGGAGGGGGTAAGTAGAAAGAGCAAGAGAGCAAGGAGAAAAGGATGCTAGGGGCCAGCAACACAGCCACCTAGCCACCTAGCCACCCAGCCACCCAGCCAGCCATGGAGTAAGAGTGAAAGTAAGATATACAGAAGTAAGAAAAGGAAAAAGCCCAGAGGCAAAAGGTAGGTGGGATAATTTAAAGTTAAAAAAAGCTGCCAAGAAACAAGCCAAGCTAAGGTTGGGCATTTATAAGTACTTGGGAGCTGGGTGGTGGGCCCCCAAAAGAGCAAAGAGCAAGGCCAAATAACAACGTAAGTCTGCTTATCTCTGGGGTTTAACCATTGTTAGTTGTTTCTCTGCTATAGCAAGAAGCATTCCCAAAAGATACCCAAAGTCTCAACCTTGTGGCTAGTTCCTATACTGAAATTGTCATTGTGTCTTCCAAACCAGACTCTTATTTTTATAGCCGTCCCAGATCTTGTATTTCTCTCTCCACAGTGCTGGAGGTAACTGTTCTGAGCCACTAATTGAGCCTTACTATATACCTTACTCACTATGATTCAGAATCTTGCCAGCATCTGGCACTGGTTTCTAGTCACAAACTTGTACCCCATTCCATGTGGATGTCTTTCCAGATCCAAGACATTTATATTATTTTGGACATTTTGGTTATTTTTGTTTCAACAACTGGCACTGATGGCAAAGACACCTCCTTTGGTCCTAGGGCCACCTGTTTTGTCTAATTTGTACCTCCACAATAAACCTTCAGCTAAGGTGACATCCCAGCACAGCTTGTAGCTGTGCCCATGCTGGTGGGAAGACATACAGCCTATAAAAAGACTCTGGTTATTTGAATGGGAATGGCTCTTGTAGGCGCATATATTTGAGTAATGGGTCCCTAGTTGGAACTATTTTGGGAAGGATTACGAGGCATGGCCTCATTAGAGGAAGTATATCACTGGGGGTGTGGTTTGAGGTTTCAAAAGTCCATACCAAGTCCAGTGTCTCTGCCTCTAACTTTCAGATAAATGGTAAGCTCTTAGCTACTGTTCCAGTACCATGCCTGCCTGTCTGCTGCCACGCTTCCTGCCATGATGATAATGGTTTCACTCTCTGAAACTGTAAGCAAGCCTCCAATTAAATGCTTTCTTTTATAAGTTACCTTGGTCATGGTGCCTCTTCACAGCAATTGAACAGTAACTAAAACAGGTCCCAAATGAACTCTTAGTTCTGAACATCTTGTTCTGAGCACTTTATCTCTCACTTGTCAGACGTTCTCATACAGCTGAGTTGTCAGTTTGAGCCTGGCCAAGAAATCCGATCTTTATCCCCACATGGAATCTGTTCACAAAATTGTCTGGGAAAGGAGTTCTGGATTATAAGAGTCAGAAGATTTTGGTCCTAGCTCCACATCACACACAAGCAAGCCAAAGTAGGCTGCTACTGTTATTTAGGTACTTTTATTGACTATGTTCAGGATCGAGTGTTGACCACTGCCTGGTACTATTTCAGTGGGAAGTGATTTTAAGCTCACTAAACATAAGGTTATAGATTATATCATAAATCATTATTGAAGGTCATTTTTATAACGTGTTCATTGTGCTTTTAAACTTGGAAGTTTGCAGAATATAATGAAGATTTACTGGAGACAATTTTAGTTAAGAAAAATCACATCTCCCCACCCTCAGGATTTTCTAACACACTAGAGAGAAGTTAAAGAAAGAAGAATAAAAGCACCAAACATTCACCCTGGCTAGCTGTGAACCATGATCTCTGTCTGAATCAAGTGTTTGATTCTGAAAAATCTGCTTGTCTCCTGGACAAATACCAGACACTGTACTCTTGGAGAAGTGACAGCGATTATTATAGCTGTGCTGCTCCTAGAAAGAAGCGTGAGGAATTGGAGTGTTGCAAAGGCACGAGCTAGTGGTCCTACTTTGTGTCAAGTGAGAATTGTATCTTTTCAGTTTGTTGTTCCTCCTCTCTGCTGTTCTCAGAAACATAGACCTTGACTCCTTGGGGGGGGGGGAGGGGTTGGGTAGTTTTAATTGTCCACTTAATACAATCTAGAATCACATGGGAAAGGAGTTTCAACAAGAGATTATCAAGCTGAGGTTGGCCTGTGGGTATGTCTGTGGGTGATTGGTTTACATTAATAGATGTGGGAAGAACCAACCTAAAAGTAGGTGGTGTTGTGTCCGCCTCGACCAGCAAGGAAGATGCAACACCAGGCTCTTCTCCAAGCAGTTTATTCAGGAACCTTGAAACAATCTTCTGACTTCAGACCCCGGGAAAAGCCAACCCACAATCTAAATAGCTTCTGGGCAGCCAACCCCAATCTGCCACGTGGGTACTGTGGATAGGTCCAGGTGCGTGGAAGCAAGCCAAATCCTCAGCCTTAGCCAAATAAGGAGTTGTTTATCACAGAGAGTACTCACTGTCGGGAGGGTGGAAGGTGGAAGCCAGCGCCATCTTTGAGGCGCGGCTGCACGCAGCTCTCTACAGGGTGGTACTATTTTCTGGGTTTTGGTCCATCCTGGGCTGTATAAAAAAAGGAAATGAGAGCAGGGCATGGTGGTACACACCTTTAATCCCAGCACTCAGAGGCAGAGGCAGGTGGATCTCTGCTGGGGATGTCTTTCTGTTTGCTGTGAATGTATTGCTCTGATTGATTGATAAATAAAACACTGATTGGCCAGTAGCCAGGCAGGAAGTATAGTATAGGCAGGATAAGCAGAGAGGAGAATTTTGGGAAGTGGAAGGCTGAGTCAGGAGATGCTGCCAGCTGCCGCCATGAGATGCAAGATGTAAAGTACTGGTAAGCCACAAGCCACATGGCAACTTATAGATTAATGGAAATGGGTTAATTTAAGATATAAGAACTAGATAGCAAGAAGCCTGCCACAGCAATACAGTTTATAAGTAATATAAGTCTCCATGTGTTTACTTGGGTCCGAGTGGCTGCAGGAGCCAGGTGGACACAGGAAACCTTCAGTTACAGATCTCTGTGAGTTCGAGGCCTGCCTGGTTTACAAACCAAGTTCCAGGACAGCCAGAGCTACACAGAGAAATCCTGTCTTAAGAGATAAAAAAAAAAAAAAAAACTGATTGGAAGCATGCATTTAGTCAGTCAGTCAGTCTCTCTCTCTCTCTCTCTCTCTCTCTCTCTCTCTCTCTCTCTCTCTCTCTCCCTCCCTCTCTCTCTCCCTCTGCTTCTTCAAGACCTGACACCCTAACTTCCCTGCTATGATAGACTATAACTCGGAATTGTGAGCTAAAGTAAACCCTTTCTCCCTTATGTTGCTTTTGATCAGCTTATTTTATCATGGCGACAGAAAAAGAAACTAAGACACCTGGTAAGTATGTCTGCCCCTCTGCAGGGCCACAGCACAACTGCATAGACTATGCATAACCTGAGAAACTCTTTAACAGGTAGTTGGTCCTCTCCTTAGATACGTTCATCTGTTTTCATATCTGAGCACTTCTAGGGGCCATCGCTGTACACAGATATACTGGAGACAAAGTGAGCAGAAGGTACTGAAAGCAAGAAGCCTATCCACAGTGACTCATGTGGCTCTGGCAATGGAGATTTCATCAAACATGCATCACAATGGCTATCACTTTAATGGTTTGTAAATGTAAAATTCAGTGGCATTCACTGCATCCACAATGCGGACTGTCAATCACCATTATCTAGACCCCAAACTTTCCCATCTTAAACCCTCTACACACTAAATATCTTTTCTCCCTGCCTTAGCTTCTGGAACTTCTGTTCTGCTTTTTACTTCTCTGAATTTGCCTATTCTAAATATTTTACCTAAATAGAATCATACTACTTTTTTGTCCTTTTGTGTTTGGCTTATTTTAGTTAGCATAAGGTCTTTAAGTTTCATCCATATTGTAACATGTATCAGAATGCCATTTCTTATAATGTCAAACTTACGTTCCATTGTATGGGAGCATATTTTGTTGGACATTTGGCTTGATTACACCTTTGGGCTGTTCTAAATAGTACCACAATGGACATGAGTGACATAGGTCATTTTGGGTACCTGCTTTCATTCTTTTGTTTAAATACTCAAGAATGAAGCTGTTGGATCATGTGGCCTTTGCATACAGACATAGTATTGGTATCATCAACACAGAAGATAGGGGTTGTAATAAAGGACACC